AAAAGTAAATCAGAGCTAAAAAAGTGCAAAAACGCAGGCAAATTTGCCTGTGTTGGTCTACATATTAAGGGATAGTATCTGGATATACGGTTAACTGTGCGGATATCTGGATATGCGGTTAATGGGTCCAAACTCTACTAAGAAAAAAGGCAGAAGAAAACAAGTGTAAAAGAAAAGAAAAAGAAATTAGCCTCAAAGTAGAACAATACTTTAGTATGATGAAAAGAGAAGAAAAAGATGCTACAAAGCCTTTTAAACAGACCATACAACAAAATTTTGCTAGATAGAGTACTTTTGGAAGAAGATTCTCACTATTAGAATCAAGAGCTTATTAGTGATGAAAGTAAAGTAAAGCAGCAAGTAATCTCACACTTCCAAAAACAGTTCAAAAAAAGAAAACAAAAATTTTAAAAAATGAGCCAGGAGTGGCAAAAAGAATATGAGCTAAAAAAAGATATAGACCTGAACTAGCATAAGAATATATTAAGTCCAATTAATGATAAAGAGTAGTGTCAGGCTCTACAAAAGATACAAAATAAACTGGCACCTAGCATATCTTGTATTGGTTATATATTATTCAAAAAATTATCTGCAAAAGCAACAAAAAGAGTAATAACATTTATAAACAAAGTCTTGAAGTATAGTAAAATTCCAGACAAGTAGAAAATATAACAATTATATTTAATACCCAAGAGAAACTTCTAGAAGTATAATTTAAGTAATACAAGACCTATAGCTTTACTAGAAACATGTAGGAAAATATTAACCAGAATCATACAATTAAGGTTAGACAAAGTTATAAGAGAAAACAACATATTAAAAAGTGCAAATTTTGCAGATCTTTCTGGAAAAAGCATAGTAGCCTAGTATATATTTTGAACAATATAATTGAAGAAGTGATAAAGAAAAAAAAAGAACTATGGATTGTATACCAAAACATGAAGAAAGCCTTCAATTTAATAAGCATGGTAGCATTAAGAAAAGCTCTAGAAAGATTTAAACTTTCACAAAAGCTTACAGACTTCATACTATATTTATATAAAAACAGAAAGTTTAGCATTATAACAAAATATAACAATACAGATCTATTTGAAGCAGAAGACAGGATAGACCAAGAGGAGGTTTTATCACTCTTAGTTTGAAAAATATTTTATGACCCACTTCTATATAGAGTTCAAGATGCAAAATTAGACTATAAAATACAAGATATAAAGAAACAAATGTTAGCAGAAAAGGATTATAGTTATCATCACAGCTTCTAACAATAGATAGTAAATCAATATATACTTAGAAACAAATTAAGTTATGGAAATGGGTTGTGAAATTGTGCAGATTACAGAAGAAGGTCAGATTTTACATCAAATAGCTTGTAGTACCAAAAAGTAGTTTTTATTAACAGGAGCAGAGTTAGTAGCAATTCTGGTAGCAACACTAATAATACCTAATGAAAGAAAGGTAGAAATAAGAACTGATAGTAGTGCAACCATATTTGCAATTAAAAAAGGGCTTGAAGCAAACAAAGCAAAACAATGGTTTAAGATCAAAAATAGTGGCCTGATTGCAATAATAGTTGAAGTAGTCAAAATGAAGTAACTACAGTAAAAATCATAAGTATTCCACCCTCTCTAACTTTTTAAATAGAAAAGCTACAACTTTAAAATTTTTACAATAAATAGTATTAAATAAATATAGATTAGTAACAAATTTTTATAGTTTTTTAATTACAACAAAAGTTAGATGAGAGCTAAATTTTTGGCCAATTAGATACTAAAAACTAATTGAATTTAATTAAAAATTTAGAATTAAATCCAAAAGCTTTAAAAATTAACAAAATTAATCTTCAAGCATTTTTATAGTATTAACAAAAAATTTGAATTAATTTAATAAGAAAGTTATCAAGAAATTAATTTTTAAAGTAATATTACTGGTTTTAAAAATCGGAGTGTTGTGTAACTTTGGATTTACTTAGTAAAAACATAGTAATTTTAACATTTTTATTAAAAATTTTAAAGTAACTTTAAAAATTAATTTCTCAACAACTATCTCATTAAATTGACTCAAATTTTTTTTTTAGTATTATAAAAAGGTTTGAAGTTTAATATAATAATTTTTTTATAATTTTTAGATTTAAATTTATATTTTTATTAATTTTTAATTAAATTCAATTAATTTTTAATTTTTGTAAAAAATCTATTAAAATTTCAGCTCTTATCTAACTTTTGTTATAGTAATTAAAAAACTACAAAAATTTATTACTGATCTATATTTATTTAATATTATTTATTGTAAAAATTTTAAAGTTGTAGCTTTTCTATTTAAAAGTTAGAGGGAGGTAGAATACTTATGATTCCTACTGTAACTCTATATTTCACAATAATTAAGAGTCACTCAGGTGATATTTTTAATGATTTAGCAGATCTTAAAACCAAAGAAAGCACAAGATCTACAGAGCTTTTAATTCTCACAGCACTAGACATGAAGGAATTAAACTAAAATACAAATAGGAGAATGAAGTTATAGGAAAACTAATATGCTCTTTCATCAAAATGTTTGGAAAAGTTATAAATAGATTAAAATAGATGTTTTTTCATAATAGTCAGAATACTATATATCAAGAAAGAGTGACTCTATAGTATTGGCCAATTTTCTATAAAATCTTAGAAAGTGGAATTAAGCAGTATAATCAACTTACAGATCAAATACTATATAGCTTTTCAAATTAAAGTATATAAACAATGTTTTGCTAGTGTTTGAAAAGCTCAATTGAAAAAAACCAGAAATATACAAAACTAATAGATATATTATACAAAAAAAAAGAAAAATATTAAATACAGTTGACTCCCTCTAAATGCATGTTCTCTAAGTGTATTTTCTCTCTATATGTATAATAATAGCCTGATCTCAAGTCGGGACTTATAAAATAAGTATATATTCTATATTCTCTAAATGCAGGTTATTTTTTAAATTATATATATATAAATATTCTTTTTAAATGCATTTTTAATATATTAACCAATCAAATTTGAGAAAATTTATTTAGATAATAAAACAATTAAAATTTATATATTTTATTCCTTTTAATAATAATATAAATTAATGGATTATGTTAAATGTAGCAGGTTGCGATTTCGCTATTGCAATATTGCAGGATACTTTTGTTATACAAATTGGAGATTAAATTATCGTGCAAACAATGAATCGGTTGCATTGATATTTTATAATGCATAATATATAGCGATAGTAAATAATTATGTAATAAATGCGTAGTGCATAATAAATTAAAGAGATCATATAAAAATAGTTAGAAACTTAGAAACCTGTTTTACACCTTTATATATTTCTTAGATCAAGCACCCATTTTACACCTTTATATATTTCTTAGATCAAGCGCTATTATTTTTAGCATAAATCATCATCTTCAAGTCACTATAATAAGCCTGTGAAATGTCAAACGATATTCTGGGACCTTTACCTTTCGATTCATGTGCTTCTATATATAACAAAGATGATGTTAATGGTAAATTAGAGCTTGCTTTTTAGCAAAAATATTGAGTTAAGCCAGTTAGATCGTTGATTTTTTTTTCTAGTAATTCATACGTTTTCAAGTCACTGCGATAAACCTGCGACCATGTCAAACGATATTTTGGGACCTTTGTTCTTTGATTTATATGCTTCAACATATGGTGAAGAAGATAAATTAATGTTTGCTTTTAGCAAAACATTTAAGAGGTCAGTTAAATTGTTGATTTTTTTTTTTTTTAGTAACTCATGCATCTTCAAGTCGCTGTAATAGACCTATACCCATGTCAAATGATAATTTGGGACCTTCACTTTTCGATCCTTATATATATGAGAAAGAAGAAGGTAAATTAGTGCTTGTCTTTTAGCAAAACATTTGATTAGGAATAAAGATGTTGGTAAAGTAATTTCACCACTATTGG